TTCTTAAAGTGTACAGTTCCTTAAAAAACAGTTTTTACAAAATAAGATAAATAGAACAAATTTCACATAAAATAAAATAAATAGAAGAACTTTTATATAAAATGAAATAAATAAAATAAATTTAATATATCAATAAAACAAGTGAAATGTGTGAATTCTACATAAAATAAAATCTAGTTTAAAGCTTTTATTCGAGATACAAAATAAGATAAATAGAATAAATTTCACATAGAATAAAATAAATAGAAAAACTTTTATATAAAATGAAATAAATAAAACAAATTTAATATATCAATAAAACAAGTGAAATGTGTGAATTCTACATAAAATAAAATCTAGTAAGTAAAATCTAGTAACCTTGACATAACCTTGACATAACCTTGACATAACCTTGACATAACTTTGAAATAAACTTTTATATAAAATGAAATAAATAAAACAAATTTAATATATCAATAAAACAAGTGAAATGTGTGAATTCTACATAAAATAAAATCTAGTTTAAAGCTTTTATTCGAGATACAAAATAAGATAAATAGAATAAATTTCACATAGAATAAAATAAATAGAAAAACTTTTATATAAAATGAAATAAATAAAATAAATTTAATATAACAATAAAACAAATGAAATGAATTCTACATAAAATAAAATCTAATTTGAAGCTTTTATTCGAAATAACCTGAAGAAAACGAGTATCAATTAAATAATTTCACACATCTTAAAAACGCAAACGATGCAAACTGTACTTTTAAATAAACGAAATCGGGCAAATGTGAATGGTACGATTTTCAGATCAATCAATTTCATTGGTTCTATTGCTAAAAAAAAAGTACTAACTAATTGATACGTGCTGTTAAAAAGAGATCGCTCTCGTGAGACGCTACAGGACGTTCGCGTACGATAACAGTAAATATTTGAAAGGTTAGCGGAAGAAAGTCGATCTGTCGACGAAAAAACGGTTGATGGCATAATATGCAGTATAAGGGGACTTACCTTGAGTTGATGTTGCGGTCGCCTGAGCGCGCCTTGGTCCCGTCGTCCATCTAGTCGATCGGCATCCGCTTCCAATCCCTCCATCGAGGACTCGGCTTCGCTCAACCAAGCCAAGAAGTTGTCCAGGGACCGGTCGAAGTTGTGGAGGGAGTTCATCGCGGAGTGCAGCAGTTTTCCTCGATTGATAATACTAGAAACGATACGATACACACGGCGTTGCATACTCCGAGTACATACTGGGGCGCATGTTCGATTTAAATTCAAGATTGCCTTACGGCTGACCAAGCATTACGTTCCTTTCAGAAAATCCAGCTGGAAGGGACACACTGCAGATATAATCAAATACAGGTTTTGCACTCGAAATTTATCCTTTTATAGATTAAATTCACTTTCTTGCGAATAATATTAATCATCTTGCAGATTTCATTCATCCTGTTGCACCTCAAATTAATCACTTTCTAGATCACGTTCACATTTTTTGTAAATCAAATTCACCCTACTGTAAATCTTATTTTCCTTCATGCCAATGAAATTCGTCCATTTGCAAGTTAAATTATTTGCAATCGTTCGTGATAAAATTCATATTTAACGAAAATATCGAACGAGAGACGGTATATCTTGATTATTATGGAAGGGTTAATTTGATTTGCAAAAAGGTGAATTTCATTTGCAAAAGGATGAATAAAACCAGCAGAAGGGCTAATTTGATTCGCAAAATGGTAAGTGTGATATACATAAAGCTTAATGTGGAGTGGAATATACGGAAATGTACAGCGGAGCTAGTATTTAGTGCAAAATCTGTAACACTGACTCACCAAAATATTGGAACACGTTTTAAAATGCAATAAATTTTTTAGAACTAATTTATTAACTCGTTACTGTACTCTGACGAGTGTGTCTCGTAATACAAGTTTCTAATAACAATCTGATAAATATGAATGTTATTCCTTTCCTTTAAGTCCGAATAAAATTCTGTTCTCTTGTCATCAACATTTAAGCGCTTAAATAAATATAGATACACACTGAATACTTTCCATTTGCTTTTAAGGAATTATTGCAATCGAAAATGTTCTAATCGTTATAACTAAACTGCGGATCTTTATGCAAAATAAAACTTGTCTGCATATATTGCAAAAAAAAATAAAAATAAGTTGCATTCTTTCTCTAATAAATTTAGTAGGTTGAAAGTACTATATCAACATTGTTAAATAGTTTTACCTCTTACATTATAGTTACGAATTTTTATCATAATAGTACGGTGGCCAAAGAAATCGTTTAAATCGGATAAAAAGTTGAAAAATGTGAGTTTTTAATTTTTTTTTTCGTCATTTCAAGCAATTGCTCATTTTGACATGACTTATCACGTAATTCACTTTCAAGCTTTAACTTGAAATAATAAAAAAACAGCAAATAAAATATTAAATTAACTATGATGCAATAACATCGAACAAACCTAGCAAAAAATTGACTTTACAATAGCTTTGCTTTAAACGGTACATATTAATCGTAAAAGTTAGGAGGCCTGTGAAGAAATAGATATGTATATATATTCTTTGAACAAAGATATGAATTTACAGTATAAATCGATTAGAATCGATGCCATGATTTTTGTACTATCCCTTTCGAAATTTGAAATCCGCCAAATTGGCCGGTTGCCATGAACTTAGCGACAATATATGATAATTAGAAATTTATGAACAGTTTCGTGGCGCTGGACGTACCTGGTGTTGAGGTTGTTGTATCTCTGATTGATGGTCTCTGTCATCTTTTTCACACGGGTCGTGTCGTCTTGCTGATAAACTGCGATCAGCTTCTGCGTGAGCTGATTGAACAATTCGATCTGTCGCTTGTACTGATGCAGCTCCGCGTGGAATGACTAGAAGAACGAACGGTACAAAATAAAATGAAGGTGAAAGAGGTAGGTCTTCGTAGCGGTGGAAACTTATCTATGTCCCGACTTGGTATCAAGTTGGAAGTCGCGAACCGTAACTCAGAGAATTTAAAATCTTTGTCTTGCCGCGACAGCCTCAAGTTTTATGCTTCAATATTCCACGCGCGGGGAACTTTTGATCGAACGCAGGTCGACCGGCTTACGTCGATGAAAATTACGATCACTCGGAACTTGCCACGGATAACGAATTACATGTTCGGGAATCAGAAAGTATTGGGTTGGCAACTAAGTAATTTATTTTAATTCGATTCAATTAATTCCTATAGTGTATTTAAAACTGAAGTAGTGATTGTAAACGAAGAGAAGAAATGCTAGAATTGTATTAGTTGTGGTAATTTAGTTTGAAGGTATGTAATTATCCTTATTATACGTTATTTTCTACTGCCTTTATAATCACGAGTTTTACTTTAGATTATTAGTACACGCAGGGATCTATGATTTTAATAAAATCTTTTGTATAATATTGCGAAACCTAAAAATAGTACAATTAAGAAAAATTTGATAGGTAGTGATCGCTTTATAGGGTTGCTGTTAAATTGTAGAATGCAGATAGCATACAAGTTCCTTCATTTAGAATGGAGGCACAATAACAATCAGCGATGTTAGATTCTAAGGGTAACAATAGCGTAGGAAACGTGGAAATTGCAAAAACTTTACGAATTGGAATGCCATGTTCTATTCGGTGCTTCCCATTTTTCAAATTCGTCTCGTAATATTGTCTCTTCTCTAGATTCACGAACGTTGTATAATAATATACATACATTATAAAAAGTGTATTGGATTGGATTGGCAACTAAGTAATCGCCGATTTGTTCAATGAAATAGAAAATTTTTTTTTACTTGGAACGAAGTTTAATCTGTAATGTATTTTCCATTTTGTTCGATGACCTTTTGCCATCTCTCTGACAACTTGAAAATTCCACGCTCG